ATATGTGTATATATATGTATGTATGTGTATATATATTTGTATGTGTGTAATGTATGTGTATGAATGTATGTGTATATAGGTGTATGTGTATGTGAAAATGTATATATGTACGTGTATATATAGTATATAATTTTTTTATTTTTTTAAAAATTTTAAAACATTTGCGACGGAATGCGACGGAAAAAATTCCGTCGCAAATTGCGACGAAATTATCCGTCACTTTCCGTCGCAAAACGCAGATTTCTTCCGTCGTATTTTTGCGACAGATTAACGACCATTATACGTTTGCGACAGCGCTATAGCGACGGAAATAAGTCCGTCGCATTCCGTCGCAAATTCTTAATTGCGACGGATTTCCTTTGTATTTGCGACGGATTTTTCCGTCGCTATATAACTGTTTTTTTGTAGTGTTGTTTTTGTGTCTGCCATGAGAATATTGCTCCTCCTATCTACATAACCACTTGTGCTTTTCATGTCATCTTGACTTCCGGCCCAATCACTATCATAGTATCCCGTGGCGGATCCAGAACAAAAAATTAACGGGGGCACAATTAAAATATATATAAAATAAAAAAAATTAATAAATATATATCATCTAAAAAATATTTACATTTTACAACTAAATACTACAGTTTTTTATTTTTTGAAATCTATACATAATAATTTTATTTGTAATTATCTAAAATATATTTTTTCGATAAAATCTATTCTCAAAAGTGAAATGTTTATATAAAATTCACTCAATTTCATTAAATTTGAAATGTTAAACTCAAAAAATGAGTCAATAGAATTTAAAACTGTAATACAAATTAACAGTTATGAATACACCTCTTTATATCGATTATTAAATTATTGAAACTATAAATTAATAAGAGTATGTGCAAATGGATCATTTATGTTATATTCTAACCAATCAATGTTAAACTAGATTGAATTAAATAGTTTAAATCTATTTTATATCTTTTTGAAAAGTTATGACCACATGATTGATAAATTCCTCTTATCAAATATTTACATCTTATCAACATGATTTAAAAACAAATCATCCAAATCAATTTGTTCATATATCAAAAGATTAATTTAAAATTTGATACATTACTGATTTGAAAACAAATATCGATGCAAAATTTCTTTTAAAAAGCTATCCACTAGTTTTTCTATCAAGTCAAATATAAAATTAAATAAATATATAAATAATAAATTAATAAATATGATCAAAATATAAAAAAGCTAAAATTTATAGAATTTAAATTCTATTAATTGTAGATATTTTTAATATTTTGATGTTTTTTTAAAGAATTATATGTAGATATAAAAAAGATAAAAATGTAAAGAAAATATGTATTAAGTAACTTAACCCTAACTTTTAGAAAAGAAATAGGGATAATTCCATTTAAAACCCTATACTTTTCTCTCGTCGCAATTTAAACCATGTACTTTTTTTAATCCAAAAAAACATTGTACTTTTAAAAATTGGCAAATAAAACCCTGAACGAAAAAATATATTATTTAATGCTGACATTGCATCCTAGTCATCTGCCACATCATCAATCCCTAATATTTAATAATATTAATTAATACAAAATAAAAATAAAATAATAATAATAATAAAAATAAAATTTTAAAAATTATACACATACATATATAATGAAATGATATACATATATACACATATATAAACATATTTATATATATACACATATATAATATATATATATATGTTTTATATGCATATGTGGTATACGTATTTTTTTTTCTAAAAATCATGCATATGTCACATATATATATGATTTTTAGAAAAGCATGTATATATCACACATACATATAAAACATATTTATATATACATATATATATATATATGTATGTATTATATAGATATATGTATATATAAATATATTTATATATGTATATAATTTTAAAATTTTTATAAACATGTTTATATATGTGTATAATTTTTATGAATATATATAATTTTTAAATTTTCATTTTTATTTTTATTATTTTATTTTTATTTTTTATTAATTAATATTATTAAATATTAGAGATTGATGATGTGACAGATGTCTAGAATGCCATGTCAGCATTAAATAATATTGTTTTTCGTTCAGGGTTTTATTTGCCAATTTTTAAAAGTATAGAGTTTTAATTACCAATTTTTAAAAGTACAATATTTTTTTTGATAAAAAAAAAGTACAGGGTTTAAATTGAGACGAGAGAAAAGTACAGGGTTTTAAATGGAATTATCCCAAAGAAATACTAAATAAAAAAATGTGGGATCAGAAAGAAATTGAGATAAATGAAGAAAAAAATAGTGGGGGCAAACAAATTTTTTGAATGGGGGCATCTATAAATATTATTTAATTATTTTTTAATTTTACAAGGAAACTAGATAAAATTTAAGTAATTTAGTGGGGTCCATGCCCCCACTCAACTCATTAACAAATAGATCCGCCCATGATAGTATCCCTGCAACAGTACAGTGTTCTCGGGTTTGAAGTGTAAGCCAAGATCAATGGTTTTCTTGACATACCTCAATACCCTCTTCGCTTGCTTGAAATGTATCATCTCCGGTTTGCTCATGAGTCTTGAAAGATAACTTGCATCATACATCAGATCCGGTCTTGTGGTCGTTAAGTACAACAGACTTCCTACCATACTTCGGTATTCTTTTGTATCTGCTTCTTTCTTCTCCTTCATGTCAATGTTCTTACCGTTCGGCTCAAGTGGTGTATTGACTGGTTTACAGTCAGACATCTTGAATTTCTCCAGTATTTCTTCGCATAGCTTCCTTGGGATAAGAAAACTCCATCTGAACTTTGCCTTATTTTCATACCCAAGAAATACTCCATCTTGCCAAGGTATGTCATCTCAAAGTGATGCATCATTTCTTCTTTGAATCTTCCAATATTCTCCTCATTACTCCCGGTAATGATCATGTCATCCACATATAGTGAGATGATCAGTATATCCTATCCAAGCCTTTTGATATATACCGTTGCCTCGTATGGACATCTCTCAAAACCTTGTTTGAGAAAATATTCGTCAATCTTGCTATACCACACTCTTGGGGCTTGCTTCAAACCGTACAAAGCTTTTCTTAGCTTCAGTACGTGATCTTCTTTGCCTCTACTTCAAATCCTTGAGGTTGCTCCACAAATACTTCCTCCTTAAGTTCACCATTCAAAAATGCAGACTTCACATCCATGTGACGTAATGTCCACATCTTTTGTGTTGCAATCGCAAGTATGAGTCTGATTGTATCGTACCTTGACACAGGTGCAAACGTCTCTGTGTAGTCTTCATCGTACTTCTGACTGAACCCTCTTGCAACCAGCCTCGCCTTATGCCTTTGTATGGATCCATCTGCTGCAGTCTTGAGTTTGTAGATCCACTTCACAGTGATAACCTTCTTTTTCTCGGGTCTTTCCACCAACTCCCAAGTATTATTCTTCTCAATCATGTTGATTTCTTCTTCCATCGCTTTTCTCCATTCTGGATAACTTTCAGCCTCTTCAAAGCTTGTTGGTTCTACAGAGCACATGAAACATGTTTCCATCATGTATGCAGAATAGTCCAACACTCTTGGAGCGACTTCAAGTATCTCTTTCATAGACCTTGTATTCGGATTTCTAGGTTCTGATGAACTCCCTTCTGGAGTGTCTTCTCCAGTGTTGGTGGATGTAGAACCACTTGATTCTCTACTTGAATCCTTATAGAAATCTGGTGCAGGAACTGCAATACCTTTTCCTTTCTCTAAGCTTTTGCTCCAATCTCATGTTTGACTTTCATCAAATGTGACATCTCTTGCAACTGTAACTCTTTGCTTCTTCGGCAAGTAAATTCTGTAGCTTTTGCTTTGACTATTGTACCTAATGAGTACGTCTTTCTTCGCTTTGTTTTTCAGCTTTGTTCGCCTTTCATCTGGTACATGGACATAACACAGACACCCCAAACACATTCAAGTGACTTAGTGAGGGTTTATGTCCTGTCCATGTCTCAATCGGAGTTGTATTCTCCAATGTCCTCGAAGGTTGTCTGTTTTGCAGGTATACTGCAGTGTATACCGCCTCTGCCCAGAAGTTGTTTTCCATTCCGACTTCCTTTAGCATTGCTCGTGCCATCTTCATGACACTTCAGTTCTTCCTTTCACTTAATTTTGTTGTGGAGAGTATGACACTGTGAGCTGCTTTGAGAAACCATGGCTTTCGCAGAATCTTGTAAACTCTTGCGATGTGTACTCCTCCTCGATCTGATCTGAGTGTCTTGATTTTTTTCTTCAGCTTGGTTCTTTACCATAGTCTTAAACTTCTTGAACACCCCAAATGTTTCTAACTTGTTTTTCAGAAAGTATACCCACACCATTCTCGAATAATCATCGATGAAGAGTAGAAAATACCTGCTTCCATCAAGCAAAGGTGTCTGCTTCGGGCCGCATATATCCGAGTGCACTAGCTCCAACTTCTTCTGAGCTCTTGATGAAGATGATGGAAACACGAGTCTTGATTGTTTTCCTAATTGGCATGCTTCACACACCTCATTGTAGTTGTCAAAATTAGGGATTCCCTTCGCCATATTCTTCCGTATTAACTTTGCATGTATGAGTTACTACTATGCCTGAGCCTTCGGTGCCACAGTTGAGCCATCGAATCTTCTTTAGCCGTATAGGAAGACTCGCTTGGTCTCACAAGCTGCATTGAAAAGCTTTTCCTCTGCATTTGTATTTTGGCAATCTTCTCCCCCATAGGATCACGAATCACACAACTACTTTCTTTGAAGACAAGTTTGTACCCGTTTAGGAGCATTTGAGGAACGCTGAGTAGGTTCTTGTCCAATTTTGGAACATAGAATACATCATTGATAACTCTTGCACCTTTCTTCGTGTTTACAACGATATCTCCTTTTCCTTCCGTCAAGATTACGGCTTCATTCCCTACTCGGATAAGGATTTTGATATCTCGGTCTATCTTCTTGAAGTACCGGATATCTTTGGACATGTGATTTGTGCATCCACTGTCGATTAGCCACATGTCTTCCCCTTGGACGATCATTACTTCATCTCGCGCCGTAAATAATTTTCATCCATGCCCTCCGTTTGTGTGACTTGAGCGTTGTGACTTAGGTTCCTTCTACAGTCTCGAGCCAAATGTCCTACCTTTCCACAGGTATAGCATTCTTTTGACCTCCTCACTTGTTGGTCTTGTTTGTCCTTGTTTTTGAAGTAACACTCCTCCTCAACGTGATTATCTTTCTTGCAATAACCACACCATTTCTTTCCTTTCGAATTAGACATCCAGAGACCTTCGTTACCTCCTTTGTGATTCTTCGATCGAGCTGGAAAAGCTCTTTGTGAATTTCCTTCTTCATCCGGTAGGAACTTTGATTCATGTGCGATCAAAGAATATCCAACCAAATCGGTGACACTTATGCTTCTCAAATCTTTCGTCTCCTCCATCAACGCTGCCAAAGTTGCGTATGACTTTGGCATTGTTATTAGGATCTTCCTTATGATTTCAAAATTTTTCTTTCCTTCTCCCAGTTGTTCCATTTGATTCGTGATATCCATCACTCTATCCGTATACACTCTTATTCTTTCTCCATCTTTCATTCTCAAATTTTCGAATTGAGTATATAAAGATTGTAAGCGAACAAGTATGACTCGTTCGTTACCTTGATATGCTTCTTGCAACTTGATCCACACCTCATTTGATGTTGTGGTCGTTATCACTTTCCGGAAGACGGAATCCATGATGTAATTTTGTTGGAGTTGGAGGGCCGTCATGTCCTTCATCTTGATCTCCCTCCATTTTGTGAGATCCGTCTCCTGATTTTTCGTCAGAGTTTTTGAGTCTCCGATGGTTGTGTTAGAACGCCTTTTTCGACAACGTCCCATAACTCTCTCAGCATCAACGTCGTCTTCATCCTTGTGGCCCATAACTCATAATTTTGGCCATCGAAAATAGCAACGGCTTGAATGTTTTGGATGTTTACTGCCATAGTGCTCTTTGTGCAAGTTGTGCTTCGTGGTGTGTCTTGTGCTTCGATCTAGTGCTCTTCCTTGTGCTTGGATTAGTGCATCATCGTCTTTTGAACCGTAGTTGGATCTGATACCATGTTACGAAACTTGTATATTTGCATTCACAAGCTTCTTATCTTTTCTTCTTTAGTGCATAATGCAAAAAAAAAGAAAAACGAGAGAATATTGAAGATTTATATCACTTATGCTTAGAACTTTTGTAAGAAAAACAAGAGAGAAAAGAGAGAAAAGTGTTTAGAGAGAAATGCTTTGAAATGCTTAGGAAAGCTTGATATGAAAAACTCTATACAACACCCCCTATTTATACTAAAACTTTTCAAACCTACTACTCTCATCACAACCACACACCTCATCAATCAATCACATCTATCATATCCTTATTTTTTCAATCACACCTAACACACACACAAATTCAAACTTCTACAACTCCTTACATAAGCATTATATCATTATGATGTAATCGCTTACATAAACATATATAAACATGGCGTAATCGCTTACATAAACATTACATAAATATGACATAAGCGAATGAATTACCTTCTCAATATGTTTTGCTTTTTTCAGATACTAATGAACAAATTAATGTAGGTATCGATCGCGAAAGAAAAAGAACGATTGCTTACGAGTAAAGTCTTGTCGTTTCCGAGAACGACCTTCGTCACGAATCTACGATCGGTGCCACTGGCTGTGACAGATAATGTCCACATCGCCATACTATAGATCGTCGAGTAAAAAGGGTCGTCGTTCCCAACAAAGTTTACAGTCAAAACACCTTTCTCCATCGCGTGGAACGTCCCGATGTCGATAGAGCTTTTATCTAAAGAATCGACATATCTGTTGTGCGAGATCATTATAACGTCGACGCCGTCTGCAATGGCGGCTTCAAACGCTGCCAAGATGGCGTTGTCGTTGCAGCTTCCGGACTAGCAGACTCCGTATACAGCAATCCGGACCGAAGGGAGGCCTCCTCTGGCCGTCCCCTGTGCTACGCCGCGGAGACTCGCTCCTTCTACTTCGTTCCTTGCGGCCGTCGAAGCTGTGTGCGTCCCGTGACCCTCGTTATCCCGTGCGGAGGAATCGACATAGTAACGTACCCCCATAGCTTATAACATACATCCGTCCATATATATATTTTTTTTATAAGGGTTGTTGTATTACTATGAAATTTAAGTACATCCGTCCATATACATACATATATATACATATATGCACTCTGGTTGTCGGAATAAAATCTGATAATCATTACAGAACAACTTCACTCTCTGTAATGTAAGTACATCATTCATTAGAAGGAAAACCGAAAATTTCATATATGGAATATCCGCCATTTACATAAATGACATTTTAATATTCAAGAAAAATTCGGATTGACAAGTAAAAATGCGTTGTTTCTGTAATTAGAGATGGGAGAGGACAAGGAAACAGACGAAAAGTACGGAATTCAGAGCGCATGTGTGGACACGCGTCAAGTATGACATAAGCGATTTGGTTGTGAATGTAATGCGAGAGATAAGAGAGGATGGGATAAGGGCAAAATGGTCATTTCTCTACCTCCCGTTTGCCACGGCTTCTGGTTTCCGAGCACAAAAGTCTCACTTTTCAGGAACGACGACAGAGGGGAAGAGACGAGATATTTCGAAGAAGATGGGCTCAGGTCTCTTTTTTTTTTCCTTAATTATACCGTGAAATCGATCTGCTTCTGAGCTCGCTAGTTGGTGTTCCTCTTTTTGCCCTCTAAGATCTGTTACCTTTTCGGTGTTTTTTTGTTTCGCAGGTAATTAGGGTTTTAGCTATAGCATGTCTGTTCCTTTTTATGCTCCAATGGATATGGATCAAGGCCTCGGTCAATCTCCACCTGGGTAATCGTTAATTTCTCGATTTTTTCTGTTAACCTGTCTCTCCCAGTGAATATCGGGCTTTTTGTTAGATTTTTTCCCTTTTCTGGGTTTATTCGCCCGGATTTGTACTCTGGACAGCGAAGGCTCAGTGAGATTTCGCGTCCGAAACTATATGGTTGTTTTGGGCTCTGTGGGTTCGGATTTGGGTGAGAAATAGAAATGCTTGAACTTGAAATCTCGACCTTAAGTGAAAATTGCTCGGGACCTTAAGTGAATTGGGTTTGGGAAATGAGTCTAGGGTTTAGCTAAAGATAGGGTTTCCATAGGTTTTGTAGAAAAATGAGCTTATAAGAGAGGCTGTGAAGTTTGTAGAAGTCGTTGTATCAAATCTGGTTTCTGCTGTTAAGCAGATTTGTCCTTGCTGTGTGTGATTTTGTTCTTTTAAGCCCTTAGTGTAATTTTGATTTTGCAGATTTGATAATGAACCGGTTCCAATCAGTAGTTACCATGAGGATGATCAACCCGTCCCGATAAACACCTACAAAGAGAAAGATGACTTCTGGGAGAATGGATTGAATACCGAAAACAAGGAGCCTTCTCCTGTGGCTAAGGAAAACGGCAACGCATCTGCTGATCACAGCTCATTTGCTCACGGGACAACGGATCTGAACCAACTCCCACCTATTCCACCGGTTTCTGCCGGTCAGGGTCTACCATATGCCCCCGTTGATTTCCCCGAGCCTGGTGATACTTGGTCCTGGAGAGTCGGACGGAGAGTGAGTTCAACCGGGATTCACGTTGATAGGTTTATAACTCTCCCTGAGAGGCTTCAAGGACGGAATATCCCAAAAAGTTTTGGCAGCAAACCAAGTCTGACTCGTTATATTCAGGCAAATTTTCCAGACGCGGATGTTGATGCATTCTTTGCGTCTTTTAGCTGGAAGATTCCAGCTCTCTTCCAGCCCGCTGCTAGGGGTAAGCTCTTCTCTCTTGCTTCAACAAATGTGTCATTATGAGCTGCAAAATCTGTGTTTATTTCAAGTTAACCTTGTTTTCTTGCGGGTTATTATCTGATATTACATCCTGCTTGTACTTTCCCACCTTCCTGGCATTGTGGTCTTGAGAACTGCTAGATAAAAACCTCCTTAAAAATGTTTTCTAGCTTATTTTCTTGTATGTAACATTTAGATAGTTTGTTTCCTTTTTCCTTAACAGCAGTTTATCTTGATAATGACTATGATTTTCTCGTGTTCTGCTTTTTTTTAGTTGATGCTGCATCTCTTTTCGAAGAGACTTCCAAAGAGGGACAGAATGACAAAGCCTCGGGGGATGAGGCTGCAAAGGATGAGAATGCTCAAGAAGGGAAAAAGGAAGGAAACTCCCGGTACAGCCAGAGGAAGAGAAAACCGACGCAGACACAAACATATGAACCTGTTGAAGAAAAACCGAAAGCAACTCCCCGAACTGGCCAGAAGAAAAAGAAAGAGAAAGCAGCATCTGCTCCACAACTATCGAGCAAACAGAAATCTCGACAGCAACCCGCTAGACGCTCCTCAAGGCAGCCTGGAGGTGCTGTGGACCTGAATTATATGGACGAAGAGAATGAAACAGAAACATCAAAGACAGGCAAGAAAAGGAGACAGAGAGGTGAAATCGAGGAAGAGCAAGTTTCAATTCCTCATATCTATGTTTCTCCTATGAACGGTGTCCTTGCAGTCTCACACTCGCCTGTGGATGTCAACCCGGAAGAGTTTGACTGCTACCTTGACTCTCTCGATAACCTTCTTCAACAGCCTCCGGAAAATGGGCAGGAGCCCTCTGTCCCTGTCATCACCTCCCCGATGAGAGAATACGAATGGGCTGAAGCCCGGATGAAGCTTTCATCTCTTCTCGAGAAAGATTTCACTTCCCTTTTCTTCTCCAAGGATGCTGCAGAGTTAGCTGCCTTGGCAGCTAAAATCAGGAAAGATCCGAGCCTTTCTGCTGAAGAAATCGTGAAGTTGAAGCTCGTCGAAGAGATGCCATCGTTCAGCGAGGTTTTCCAGGAGAACAAAGAAGTGATAGAGGATGCAGACAGGTTCTTCTCCGCCCTCGAGCTCAACAAAGCTAAGGTTGCATCACTCAAGTATGAGTACAGCGAGCTGAAGGACAAACTGAGCAGTCTGGACATGGAAGTGGAATCCAACTCAGAGACAATCCGCCAGATCGACGAGCAAATCGCACAGCTTCAAGCTAGACGGTCTGAGCTGACACGCTTCATCGGGAACAAGAAGAAAGACAAGGCTGATCTGAACTACGCTCAGAAGATGGTCGCAAACTCGATCCCGAAAGTCGTGCAGGAAGTTCAGTCGGCGAACACAAAGAAGTCGCAGTGGGAGATGAAGAAGGAGAATGCCCTTAAACGTGAAGCCGAGATCCTGTCCAAATTCTCTGCCTTGAAAGGCTTTTATCTCTAGTTCCTCTTTTTAGTAACCAGTCTGATTGGTCTGTATGTCCATGGATCATCGAGACTGAATCACTTCCTCTCTAGACTGAATCACTTCCTCTTTTGTTGTGTCTTAGAGTAGCGCGCTGTACTGTATGTCTTCCGTTACTGTTTCCAGACATGTATCTTGCTTTAGCTTAATATCATCTGGGTATCTTACATTTGCTGATTTGTAATGGATAAAACTCCTCCTAGACCCAAGTTCAAGATACATTGACCAGATTGAGATTGACAGAACTTGGTGCATGGATTCAAATTGTCATAAGATTTCCACCTGATGCACAAAGGGCTTCACTTTGAAGCTTCAATGCCTCGTCTATGAACTCAAACTTCATCATAGTTCAAACCCAAGAAACTGAACAATCAAAGATGAACTAACAGAGGGATATACATTATGATCAACATCAATTGTAAAAACGGGAAAACCAAACCGCCATCAGAGCCTCATTTCACCGGTTGTTTCTGCTAAAACACCATTAGATACCATTTCCAGAGTCATTGGACTGCTCTGAAAGGGACGCTACCAAGATGAACAAAGCTGCCATGTCATGAATTCACCAGAGAGATTTTCTTACAGGAGGGCGACAAAAAGGCGAGATTTTTATCAGACATTTCTCGATCAGAAACATCAAATCGGATGTGAAACTAAACAATAAAAACATAGTACAGAGACGAAAAACACCAACAAGAAAAAAAGCCAACAACGCGTTATTGTACAAGAACTAGCCGGCTACTTCCGATACCTCCTCCGAAATCTCCATCGCTGTCCCCCTCCTCCTCCTCCTCCTCCTCCGGAAAATTCTCCGCCGTCTTCGGCACTGTCACTACCAGCTCACCGTCTTCACAGGCCACCATCACGAGCTCAGGCCGAGTTGTCTCAGGCAACCGGAATCGCCACACGTCCAGCTCGAGCTCGTCCAACAAAGGCGGACCCAGAGACGACGATGACGACCCGTTTGCTCTAACAACGATCTTCATCACACCGGGATGGATCTCCACCATGTGGGCCCTCACTCCACCGTCTCCGGCGGGGAATCCGTCGGTCTCCGCCGAGAATCTGAAGCAGTCGGGCATCTCCTCCACCACAACGTCGGCGTCGGACCTGAACGGAAGCTCCAGGACCCGGTTGAAAATGTGGGGCAATCGCCGGAGCTTCTTGACGGGTTCTCGGATACTCGGATCGCGGGAATGGTGATGGATCAGGATGTTGTTCCGCTTCCTGGGTAAAGGATGGACTCTCATGGCTGCTGGGTCGGGTTTTTCGATCGCGGGAGTTGGAAGAAGCGATTGGGTCAAAATCAAAAGATGAAACGAAAGCGAATACGATAAAAGTGATGGGTTTTGGACGGAAATCCAAACCATACAGGCTACGGCTCTGGAATTTCACCGGCTGACGAAACCTAATGTCCCCAGAAAACAAAAATTGGAAATTTTCCTGGGAAATCTCGAATTTTGCAAAATGGGTAATGGAATTTGTTTGCAGAATATCGAATCTTTTCGATTGGTTTCTGGATTAAAGCAATTAAAAGACAGGCAAAACAGAGAAAACAAAAAATGTAATTTTTGGAGAAGGGAAGACAGGGAAAAAAATGCTGCTTTTATGAATCGCATTCGCAGATGAGATAAGGATACAATATCTTAAATTACTCAATTACCCCTGTTTTATTGTAGAATTATAATCACGTGTAAAAACAAATTTGGTACAAATAATTGAGAAGTTAGATATAATTTTGATTAGGTTTCATAATTATCATTAGGCTAATCCTATACTTTTTTCTTATCAATTTAACCCTATAATTAGTGTGATTGACTCATAAAACTCCAAACTTTGTAAAAATTCACCGAAAACTTTCTCTATCTATCAACTCAAACAAAAATAATAATGTAGCAGTAACATGATTTTCAAGTCATGCACACATTATCATAATTATATCACATCATCATTTTTAAATAAAATTTAAATTAAATAATTTATTTAAATTAATATATATACATACAAATTTACATATATATATATATATATATATATATTAAATATAAAAATACTTATAACTAATAAAACACACATATACATATCTACAAAATATATATACAATATATATTATAAATAGTATATATATATATATTAGTTATAATTACTTTTATTTTAAAGTTATATATGTATATGTTGTATGTTAGTTATATTTATTTTGTATGTATAACTAATATATATACATATACATATTATTTTTAATATATATTATATGTATATATGTTAGTTATAATTATTTTTATTTTAATATCTATATTATGTATGTATATAAAATTAAATATAATTATTTTTATTTAAATATATATGTATTATTTATGATATACATATATATTGTAGTTATGTGTATATGTGTTTTATTAATTACAAATAATTTCATTTTTAATATATTATATGCATATATTAATTTAAATAAATTATTTAATTTAAATTTTATTTAAAAATGATGATGTGGCATAATTATGATAATGTGTGTATGGTTTGGAAGCTATGTCATTGTTATATCATCATTTTTGTTTGAGTTGGCAGATGCGGGGATTTTCGGCGAATTTTTAAAAAATTCGAAGTTTTATGGGTTAATCACACCAAATACAGGATTTAATTAGTAAGCAAAAAAATAAAAGATTTTTCCGTTGACCTTATGGGATTTTTTTGGCAACAAAAACAACTAATTTTTTTTTATGTTTACATGTTTATCAATTTGTCATTGTAAAAATAAATAAGTAATCTACTCCTCTAATACTATACTTTTACGTAACATCATTGTCTATTAGGTTCTTATTTGCAGTAATATCATTTTTTGTCTGCATTAATCTTACCAAAGTAATTCATGGTTATTATAGTTTAATACATTTGTATTTCTATCTTAAACTTTATGTTATAAAAATATTTATACCTTTTTTTTTTGTGTGTTACCAAATTTTATACCTATGATCCTATTAATCGATTCAATGTCCCTCTCACAATGGTAAGTCAATACCTACATTGAAGTGTACAAGAGATTCCTCCTATAGTTTTTTTCTCTCTCATGGGAATATAAAACTAAGCATATAATATTACTCTTTCATCCAAAGCATCTAAGAATTTAATCTTTATAGATTAGAGAGTTTAGCACTAATTACATGTAACAATGGAGAAGAGAATGGTGTGTGTGTGTGTATATATATATATATATTGTTAGGGCTTTAAAATATTGATTTTGGGTTTCATTAACTAATTAGTTGGGAAATTGTTTGGGAATTAAGCCCAATAAGCCTATAATAGATCCAAATCAGAAGTTGTTAGGCCTTGGGAATTAAGCCCGATCAGGCTACAATGTTGGGTGTTATATCAAATATCAAAAGGATCTTATGCATATATAGATATATAAATCATTACCCTTTTTGGTAATCTCGATTAGCATTGCAAAAACAGTGTTTGAAATTATAATGCAAAGCTAAACATAAAAGGGGGAAAAACCAGAATCCTGAATTATGATGTAAATCATTTACATATTTATATTAGAAACTAGCGAATAAATAAAGAAAAATTATAAATAAATAAGATTCGATGGATAGAAACTAATAAGACAATTGAAATTTTTCAAATGAACTAAAAGCTAGTGGGGTATATAGAAAATATGTGGAATAACATCTTTTATTTATAATCAAATTAATATATAATTAAATAAATGAGATCAGTTTTAAACTAAATATAATAATAAATATTTCCAAATATATATTTTTCGTATTTGATAACATCTCCATTATACACGATATATCTCGTAATATTTTTCAAGATCTAATATAGGTTATACTTCAAATAGACTCGCTAGATATTATAAATGAAATGAGAATTTAGATATTATAAATCATGTTTTATATTTTAAAATGAGAAAAAAAAAGTCAATATATATATATGTTAGACCAGAAGATATATCTTATACCTAATTAAGACCAATGAATTGGGAGCAGGTATCGTGAGTGAAAAGTCCTCGACATATGAATTTTATAGTTATAAAAATTTATTTTAATTCGTATATGTAAATATTTTATCCATATATATAACACATCAATAATAAAATCTAAAGGTTACTTATTTCTTGATTTACTATATGTGGTTATGGTTTAAATTTCGATACTGTCCAAGCTACATCGAAGACTTCAGAATAAATTTATAGAAAATTATTATACTCTTCAAGACAAGCTTAATTATAATGTTTCACATGAAAATATGAATGCCTCAAATCCCATACATGTGTAATATATGCATGTTGATTCGCGCATTTCATAATAATAATAATAATAATAATAATAATAATAATAATAATAATAATAATAATAATAATAATAATAATAATAATAATAATAATAATAATAATAATAATAATAATAATAATAATAATAATAATAATAATAATAATAATAATAATAATAATAATAATAATAATAATAATAATAATCATCAATTTTGCAACTTTTACATAAAATCATGAATTTAGAAATTTTGATATATTCACACATATTTATTAACTTTACAAATTTTGTAACTTAAATATAAAATCATGAACTTATAAATTTTGGGAAAATACGATAAAATTATTAAAGTTCATGATGTTATATAAAAATTAAAAAGTTTATGATACACACAACTTTTAAAAATTCGTGATTTTTTAGACGATTTTACTCTAATAATAATAATCATAATCATAATCATAATCACAATCATCATAATAAGCATAATCGATCCGCACAAGAAGATTTCTCTTCGTCTTGGGATAACTTTTGATAATATAATCTTTTATATGAAACCGAAGCAAAGAAGATTATACATTAGTCCCGTTTTTTTTTTTCCGAGCAAAACAAAACGCTACGACAAGAGGAAAAAAAAAAAGATCAGTACAATTTCGTGGTGTTAGATCTTCCAAACTTCTTCGCCGTCGCCGGAGACCGGGACGCCGACAATTCGCCGGAACGCCGCCGTAGCATCTGCCTCATGCCGTCGGCGACAAGGACCGCCGGATTCGTTTTGAACTTCCCGCAGAAGGACATGTGAGCCCTCACAGCCTCCTCCACCGGGGAAACCGACTCCGCCGCAGATGACGTCATCTCACGGCGGGTGACCTCATCTCTCACGGCCTCCGAGCAGAGCCCACAGAGCCATTTGCCGTCGAAGTTGGCCTTCACCTCGCTAATGTAATCTTGCGTACAGTCTTCTTTCAGCCCACAACACTCGCAGGTCACCGACTCGATCTCCATTAATGTTGCTGAAATGTTTTCGATCCTTTGATCGATTTTCCCAAATGGGTTTCGAAAAAAAAAGTTTTTTTTATTGAAATTTGCAATTATTTTCTCCTCTCTCTTTTTTTTGGGGTTTTGTTTCTCTGATTTTGGTAGGTTTGATGATGTTCTTTTTTTGTGGGTGTGAGTGAGAATTGTAAAACACCAAGGTTTATAGCTTTATATGCTGCATGGTGGGATTTTTGTGTGGTTGGGGAAAAATATTATATTTCATAAATAGAGGGCGGAGGAAAAATGCAATAAATATCTTATTTATAACCAAAGTTAAATACTTTCGTTATGAAGATATATGGGAGTAGCTTATAGTTGATGGGTTTTGATGTATCTATATATATGTTATAATAATACCTTGATTTTAATATATGATTTGATTATCATCCAATCTGTCAAATTTTATTTTATATTCAGCGGAATAATAAAAAAAAATGCTAACGACGAACTTCCGACATGAAAGTTAAAGACTTTAGTCAATTACGCACTTTTTATAACCGTTATCATACAACACATATACTTTCACAAAACAGTTATAGATCATTGAGACAGGTTTCTCGTATTTGATTACAGATTTTTTTAAAGATAAATACGTATATAATCCGTGTATATATATGTATATGTTTGTGTACATATATGTAAAGATTAAAATAAACATTATATGCGGATGGGGGTTTGCCATAATTTGCTCCATGTTCTAAGGGTCATGGAAAGGTGGGAGTGGAGACAAAGGTGGTCGGGTTGAGGGGTCCCCCCACCATTTTCAGATCTTCTATCAATTTCTCAAAGATTGTTATATATATATATATATAAATGGCATTCCAATATTATGGTATGTGTTAGGGAAACCATCGGTGTTATATTTATGCACATAGAACCCATATATCATAACTCTAAATGAATTAGACATCTATTTTTTTTCCTATCCACGTAAATAAACTATATTCTATATATATAATGTAAACTATATTAACATCTGCAAGTAGCGATATTACCATTAAAATTGGACGAATCTCTAATTCCTAAAACCTCTTAAGTCGCAATATATACAGATATACAAATATTACAGTTTATATGCATACGAAACACTTATTTTCACAAATGCCAAAAAGAACTAATTAAATTAAATAATATATGGAAAATATATAAAAGTTATATGACAAACTTGTGTGTGTATGTGTATATATATATACACACATATAAATGTTGTATAATATAAAGTACTGTTGGCTGCGAGGCATAAACTCTGTGGGCAGTTTCAAGTTTTTTTTAAAAAAAAAAATATTTGGGAAAATTAAAATAGTGAAAACAGAAGACAAGAGTATTGAATGAGGTTAGTTACTTTCCGTTGCCCTATCTGCCATGCCTTCACTCGACATTAGCTTTGACTCTTCCAGTGACTGTCCTTCACGTTTCAGCCATAGATTTGTCTATACATTCAATACATATATACGTGTCTTTACACACACACACACATCTATATATATGCTCTTATATTCCACGTAAGCATGCATATGGTCTAAATATATCTTTGTGCATTATTAAATATGCTGTCTAATAGAAATCTTTGATTTGCCCCTCAAAATGATAAAAAGTCGAAACATTTCGATCGTTTTGAGATCATGGCTTTTGATTGGATAAAAACTACATTTATTCAAAAGAAAAAAAAAAAAAGAGTTTTTGTTTGGTCTGTGTTATTATTACGATGCTTAATCTTTTTTTTTTTTTATTATAAAAGACGGTACACATCTATCATAGTTCATAGGGTTTTGATAATATGATCATATATTTTGAAGTGTATATACACTACTCTCGGTTATAGCTAGATTAGATTATTTTAAAGTTTATTTATTTTTTTTTATAAACTATAAGATGTTCTGAATAACTTTTAATTATAAACCGATATCTTTAATAAAATGAAGCCTCAAAAATCATTTCATTCTAAGAACAGAATTCGAATCTTTAATATGCTAAACGATATACGCTAATCCTTGAGATCAAAGTTTAATTTTTTTATTCATACATTTAGTTCTATATCTCTTTGACTCAGTTTTTTAGTAAAAGCACTTATTTAAAATGTTTTATATTATTCTCACATTCAGTTAGATTCAATTCAATCTTTAGTTAGTGAGTTTAAAAACTTATATGCAAGCGGTTTTCAGATGAAAAATTATTAATAAATAAGTTTTGGGAAAATCCCAAAAAAAAAACAGTTGTTTTTTTAAATTTGACAAAAAAAACATTGAACATTATTTTTTATCAAATAAACATTAAACTTTTTAAACGAATCTAAAAAAACACTGAACTTTTTATGTGATCCAAAAAATACATGAGATTTTCTCTGATTATCAAAAAAACACTGAACTTTTTTAGTCATCCAAAAAAATACATGAATTTTTTTCGATTGTAAAAAAAACTAAGAAAAATAATCTGACGTGTTTGCATATGATTGTGCCACGTCAGTCATTTTGTTTATTTTGACAATCGTTGAAGAATTAAGTGTTTATTTTGTCAAACTTAAAAAGTTTAATGTTTATTTGATAAAATAAAAAGTTTAGTGTTTTTTTGTCAAAATTTAAAAGGTTTCAGTTTTTTTTGAGATTTTCTCATAAGTTTTCGTTATTTATTCCATTTTTATACGTGTGAAAGAGAAATGATATCTTATTATTGAAAATTAAAAAAAAAACACAATTAAATAAACAGTTTTGGACAGGTGAATGAATGCGATGCAACGGGAAGAGTATGCAAACATGGGCATGAGGGTTACTTCCAATGTTGTCTTGCAATGATGTTATCTACTTTTTGGCATTGACTGATATTTTGTTCTAACATTTATATATATATATATTGATTAATTTTTATTTATTCGATTAATAATTTCTTTTTAAAAAAAGGGGGAAAGTGTTTTTATGATTATATGCCAATGAGGAAGACAAACTTAAGTTTATTCGGTCACATTTATTATTCTCATATCCATCTTATTTTATTTGGTTACATTTATTATTGTTATATCCATTTAGGTCGAGAATATTATTTTAGATAAGTATGAAACAACATTGACATTTGGTCCCTATAAGTTTTATAAATATGTCTATTTAACTCATCCGGTTATAATAATACTTACAATAATTTTATAAAAAAAATAATACTTAAAATAAAATTTACTTGATAAAAAAACTGTTCATGCAAATTAATTCAGAAAATAATTTTGAAAGATAAACAGATTGATTTCATTCTCTACTACATATATATATATATATAGTTATATAATAAAAAATAGCATATATATATAGTATGAGTTCAACATGTATTTTACAATTTTTTTTCCTTTCCATTGCTTTTTTTTATTTGTTTTCTCCATGAAGTGCTCTTATATAACTTGAAGGAAAAGTAAAACCACCAATGATTATAGGATGACCATATTTAGATTTTGCATACATTATTATTATTATTATTATTTTATTATAAAGATGGTTTTGCTTTTGAGTTAGTTTCAAGTCTCATTCACTATAATTTGATTATTTTGATGACTTTAGATAATCACCAACTAATTAATATGAATTTTACTCCACAAGCATAAGATCATTTGCATTCATTTGTTTGAGTGTTGTTCTAACTCCAACTAGTTAAACTTATCTTTTTAGATATCCTTAATATAAGTTTGTCTATTATTACAAAAAAAACTATATAAATAGTAAGACTAAATCACAATGATATCAATAATAAAACATCATTAAATGTTATTATTATTATTATTACATGAAGTAGATTTAAATGGATAAACAAAACAACCTATAAATGATGGGATTGGGCGTTGACGGCAATATATTTCCAATATTGGTCGGACTGGAAAATCTATCATAAGATTTTCAGTTACCAAATTGGATTATATTAATTAGGGACATTATTAATTCAGTTGACTATAGTTAAGAAACTTGATTAATTCAATTATCACTCCAACGTTGCTATTATCATCCATCAGAATGATGTGACCGTGCCCTAAGTTTTTTTTTTTTTTTTTGATAACGGAGGACCCCTAACTGCTACCCTTCGGGCGCGCTGACTAGGTAAACCTCCGGCCCGGGAGCAACCTTTGTATATGGATCATATAAACCTAGATATTACCTCCATTCCCACCAGCCAGGAATCGAACACTAACCTCAAGGTGAAGTTACCTCCTACCCCAAACTTGACCACTCGCCCACGATCTATTGGGTAAGATTCGAATCGTGCCCAAGTTGCCTTTTCTTTATATATATATATATCGAACTCTATTAGGGAAGAGTATTATTAAACATGCGATATATTATTATAGCTTTAATTAGCCATTATTATCTATCTTTTTTTAACATTTCTCTTTATGATGATGATGATGATAACAACAACAACAATAATATAATAATAATAATATGCAGTAAGTTCCCTAATGAAATTATTGTTAGATACCAAAAAAAAGTTCCCTAATGAAATGAATAAAATTTCACATTTGAATAATAAAAGATCAAGATAGACAAAATGGTGCTTTTCAATTTTCAATAAATTATATTTGGTAGCAACCGACTGATATGAATTATTTATTAATGTTGATATTACATATATGCCCAATACAAACCATTTATGCATTTTTGTGGACTTGTCACCAATATATATATATATATATATATATATATATAT